AGGCAACAAGTTAAAGTTTCTCTCTCACTTCGAAGTTTCTCTACCTCTCTCTCTTCCTTGCTTCCCCTCCCCCTGAAATCAACAGGCATGTCCTCGGGTGAGGATAAAAATAAATAATAAAAAATTTTTTAGATTGGGTAATGGTTTTTGAGAGGTGTTTCATGAAAAAGATATACAAATGGATAATATGCAAGAGAAAAGATGCTCAATATCATAATTCATTAGGGTAATGCTAATTAAAACCCCATTACAATACCATTCTATACTTAAGATGGCTAAAATGAAAAAAAATTAAAACTATAACAAGTGTCGGAGAGGATGTGGAGAAACTGCACACCCTTAAAACTGCCAGTAAAATTTAAAGTGGTACAGCCACTTTGGAAAACAGTTTTGGAAAGTTAAACATAAACTTATTTTACAACCCAGAAATTAACTACTAGAGAAGTGGAAACACAGCACCACAAAGACCTGTACATGAATACTTACAGTGGCATTATTGGAAATAATCCAAATACCCATCCGCTGGTGAAGGAATAAACAAAATGTGATATTATCCATATAATAGAATATTAATTAGCAATAAAAAGAAATAATCTATTTACACATGCTACAACATAGATGTAGCCCAAATGTTATGCCAAGGGAAATAACTCAGATGCAAAAGACCAAATATTGTATGATTTCATTTAGGAAATGTCCAGGAAAAGCAAGTATATATAGAGAGTCTGAAAGCAGACCAGTGGTTGATAGATTTGCAAAGAGAAACTTTATAGACTGATAGAAATTATCTAAAACTAGATTGTGGTAATGTTGTACAACTCTGTAAATATACTCAAAATCATTAAATTGTAAACAAGACCCATATATATGCTGTCTACAAGAAACCCACCTCAGAACAAAAGAAAGACTAAAAGTAAAGGAATGGAAAAGATATTTTATTCAAATGGAAAGGAAAAAAATGTTGGGGTAGCAATATTTATATCTGACAAAATAGACTTTAAAACAAAGGCTATACTAAGAGACAAAGAAAGACACTACATAATGATAAAGGGGGCAATACAACAAGAGAATATAACCCTTGCAAACATTTGTGCACTCAACATGGAAGCACTGAAATATGAAAAGCAAATCTAAATAGACATAAAGGGAGAAATCGACAGCAATACAGTCAAAGTAGGGGATTTTTACACCCCACTCACTTCAATGGATCGATCTTCCAAACAGAATAATCAACAAGGAAACAGCAGCCTTAAATGACACACTAGATCAGATAGATTTAATTGATATCTTCACAGCATTTCACCTCAAAGCATAAGCATATACATTCTTTCAAAGTGCACATGAAACATTTTCTAAGATAGACCAATGTTAGAATACAACACAAGTCTCAAATTTAAGAAGACTGAATTCATTATCAAGCATCTTCTTTGACCATAATGGTGTGAAACTGAAAATAAATCAAAAGAAAGCACCTGAACAATACACAAAGACAGGGATGCTAAATAACATGTTACTAAACGATGAATGGGTTAACAAGGAGATGAAGGAAGAAACCAAGTTACCTTAAAATAAAGGAAAATGAGAACAACCCAAAATCTATGGGGCACAGCAAAACTAGTCCTAAGAGGGAAATTCAAGGCATTACAGGCCTACCTCAAGAAACAAGAAAAATCTCTAGTGAACAATGTAACCTCATACTTAAAGGATCTCTGAAAAGAAAAACAAAGCCAAAAGTGAGTAGAAGAAAAAAATAAAGATCAGAGCAGAAATAAACAAAATGAAGTCTAAAAACACAATAAAAAAGATCACTGAAACCAAGAGCTGGTTTTTTGAAAAGACAAACAAGATTAATAAACTTTTAACCAGACTCATCAAGAAAAAATAAAAGAGAACCCAAATAAATAGAATCAGAAAGTTAAGAGAAGTAATAACTGGCATGACAGATATACAAAGGATGGTAAGAAATTATTACAACTATATGTGAACAAATTAGATAATCTGGACTAAATAAATTCCTAGAAACATATTTTTCAAGAGTGAATCAGGAAGAATCAGAGAATCTGGACAGATTACACCTAGTGAAATTAAAGCAATAATTTAAAAATTGAAGGAACAAAAAAAAGTCCTAGACCAGATGGCTTCACAGGTGAACTTTACCAAATATTCAGAGCAGAACTAACACCTACCCTTCTCAAACTATTCCAAATAATTCAAAAGAATGGAACACTCCCAAGCTCATTTTACAAGGCCAGCATTATCCTAATTCCAAAACCAGATAAAGACACTACAAAGAAAATTATAGGCCAATATTCCTCATGAACATAAATAAAATCTTCAACAAAGTACTAGCAAACGAGATCCAGCAATACATGAAAAAGGCCACACATATACCATGATAAAGTGGGATTTATTCCAGGGATGCAAGGTTGGTACAGTATTACAAATCAATAAATGTGTTTCACCATATAAACAAAATGAAGGATTAAAACAACATGATCACATTAATAGATGCAGAAAAAGCACTGGATAAAATCCAGCACCCATTTATGATTAAAAACTCTCAGCAAAATGGGAATAGGGGAAACGTACCTCAATGTAATAAAGGCTGAATATGACAAACCTATGACCAACTCATAATCAATGCGCAAAAACTACAAGCATTTCCCTTAAGACTGGGACCAAGATAGGGATGTCCATTTTCACCATTCTTATTCAACACAGTACTGAAAGTCCTAGCCACAGCAATCAGACAAGAAGAAATAAAAGGCATCCAAACTGGAAAGGAAGAAGTTAAACTGTCACTATTTGCAGATGACATGATACTGTATATTGAGAACCCTAAAGATTCCAAGAAAAAAATACTAGAACTGATCAATGAATTCAGTAAAGAATACAAAATAAATAGAAATCAGTTGCATTTTTAAACACCAATAATGAGCTATCAGAAAGGGAACCTAAGAAAACAATCCCATTCACAATTGCTTTAAAAAACACCTAAGAATAAATTTAACCAAGAATATAAAAGACCTGTACTCAGAAAGTTGTAAGACACTAAAGAAAGAAATTGAAGAAGATACAAATAAGGGCAGCATATACCATGTCCATGGATAGGAAGAATTAACATCATTAAAATGTTCATGCTACCAAGATATTAATGGCATATTTCACAGAACTAGAACAAATATTGGAAAAAATTATGTGGAACCTCAAAAAACCCCAAATAACCAGAGGAAATCTTGAGAAAAAAGAACAAAGTTGGAGGAATCACACTACCTGATAGCAAACTATACTTCAAGGCCATATAATCAAAACAGCATGATACTGGCATAAAAACAGACACATAGATCAATGGAACAGATGAGTCCAGAAATAAACCCATGCCTTTATGGTTAATAGTATTAGACAAAAGAGGCAAAAACATACAATGGGGTAAAGACAGCCTTCAATAAATGGTGCTGGGAAAACTGGACAGATACATGCAAAAAAAATGAAACTAGAACACATTCTTATACCATACACAAGAATAAACTCAAAATGGATTAAAGACTTAAATGTTATTAGACTTAAAACCATAAAAATCCTAGAAGAAAACATAGGCAGTAAAATCTGGGACATTTCTCCTGGCAATATTCTCTGATATACAGTCTTGGGTAAGGGAAACAAAAGAACAAATTAAAAAATGGGACTATATCAAACTAAAAAAGTTTTACACAGCAAACAAAACTATCAATGAAATAAAAAGACAACCAACCCACTGAATGGAATAACATATTCACCAATGATCCCTCTGGTAAGGGGTTAATATCCAAAATTATAAAGAACTTATAAAATAGCCCTGAATGGTGTGGCTCAGTTGGTTGTGTGATATCTCACAAAGTAAAAGGTCGCCGGGTCTATTTCTGGTCAGGACATAAGCCTGGTTTGTGGGTTCAGTCCCTGGTGGAGGTGTGAGCAAGAGGATCAATGTTTCTCTCTTTCTCCCTCCCTTCTCCTCTCTCTAAAAATATTTTTTTTAAAAAAACAAAAGAACTTATAAAATTCAACACACACACAAAATCCAATTAAAAAATGGCCAAAGGACCTAAATAGACACTTCTCCAAAGAGGACATACAATGGCCAATAGACATTATGAAAAGATGCTTGATGTAACCAATCATCAGAGAAATGCAAATTAAAACCAAAACCACAATCAGATACCACATCACACTTGTCAGAATGGCTATCATAAATAAATAAAAAAACAAGTGTTGGTGATGATGTATAGAAAAAGAGAAACCTTGTGCACTGTTGGTGGGAATGCAGATTTGTGCAGTCCCCGTGGAAAGCAGTATAAAGTTACCTCAAAAAATTAAAAATGGAACTTTCTTATGACCCAGCAATTACACAGCTGGGAATATATTCAAAGAAACCCATAACACTAATTTAAAAGAATATATGCACCCCTATGTTCATTGCAATGTTATTTATAATAGCCAAGATTTGAAAGCAGCCCAAGTGTCCATAAGCAGATGAGTGGGCTATGATACATTTACAAATGGAATACTACTTGGCTGTAAAAATGAAGGAAATCTTACCCTCTGCGACAGCTGGACGGACCTGGAGAGCATTATGCTAACTGAAATAAGTCAGTCAGAGAAAGAGAACTACCACATGATTTTACCTATATGTAGAATCTATTTAAACAAAAATCATTAAACTGCAGACTTACAATGGGTGAATGCTACAGTAATTATACCCTATTGTATACCTTTAGCTGTAAATAAATATTGTAAATGTAAATATTTTCAAATTTTGCTGATTTAATAGAGCTGGTAAAGTCGACATTATTAGTATTAGAAAAAATATTTTAACATACAAGATATTTAGCTTAAATCATCAGATGAGAAGTCTTACCATAGGCAATTTAACAAATCTTTTAACTATTATCTATTGCAGTTCCCTACTTTTTCATTTGTCAAACAAGATTACATTACTCTTACACACAAAAATTCACAATTACCTTAATAAGGGCTTTTTTGGTTAATTTCTGGTTAACTTCAGGCTTATTCAGTATGTTCTTTGCTCTGTGAGCATATTCCAATGTACTCAGAGTTTCCTGTGATGAAAAGGCAATTACTAAAGGTAATATGAGATTGTAATTCTGTTATTTAAAATGTACTAAATAGTAACTCATGACTAATAACTTACGGTTGTAGCTAATTTGAAAATCTACTGAGACTATTATACCCAGCCTTTAAAAAAGAGATTGTTCAGAACATCCATCTCTTTTTTTTCCTTCTCTTAATTTTAGGGCTTTTAACTTTATGATAACTTGATGCAGTAATATTTTACTTTTAATTGTCTTCAAAACTCAGTGAATTCAATCAACTGATGAATAAATAAGATATCCTATATCCATGCAATGGAATACGAGGTCTGTCCAGAAGGTATCCAGGCATGTAATATAAAAAATAGAGTCATTTACTGAAGAAAATACAAGAAACATTGTATATAGGACAATGACACCTCAGTCCCCTTCAAAGTAGGCACCTTGGAACTCACACAGTTCTCCCAATTGCCATCAGCTATCCCATTGTATTTTCCTGAATCTCACTGACAGTCTGAAATCTCTTTCCTTTAAAGGTGATTTTAGTTTTGGGAAAAGCCAGAAGTCACAGGGTGCCAAATCTGGGCTGTAGTGGGGCTGAGTCACCTGGGTGACTTGATGTTTCGCCAAAAAACTCAGCACAAGATGATTCATGAGCAGACATGCTGTTGTGAAGAAGCTGCCCATCACCAGTTGCCCATAGCTGCAGCCTTCTGAATCATCCGAATAGTTTCCGTGGAGGAATGTTCAAGCTTAACACAAAATCTGACCCAGATTCATTGCTCTACTAGCTCAGTCATTTTGAATGAGATGGCCACACACCACACATGCTCACTCAATCGAGTCTACTGCCCCTGCCGACTACTACAGTGAAATCATCACTGTTCACACATGCACATTCCAGCCCACTCTCCTTGGCTGCCAGGTTACATGGATGTCATGCAAACCATTCTCATTATATTAACAATGGCTGGACTTTTCACAGACAGGCCTCGTTTTATTCATCCACAAAAAGGAATGAAGTACTGATACACCGTACAACATGGATGAACATTGAAAATATGCTAAATGAATGAAACCAGTCACAAAAGAACACTTATTGTATGATTCCATTTACATGAAATGTCCAGAACAGGCAAATCTACAGGTTAAAGAGTAGGTTAGCAGTGACTGACGGGTAGGACTGGGGACAGATGGGGAGTGGCTGCTTATGATTTACAGGGTTTCTTTCTGAGGTGATGAAAATGCTCTAAACTTAAATTTTGGTGATGATTGCAAAGCTTCGTGAATATAGTAAAATGACTGAATTATATACATTTGATGAGTGAATTTTATGGTATGTAAAAATTATATCTCAATAAAAATTTTTAAAAGGACAAGAGAGTTAGAGACCTTACAAAGCTTTTCTAATTCCATTTAAAGTACATGATTACAATAAAATGAGTACATTTTGTCATCTTTGTTGCTTCTTTTAGCTTTCCACCTGTTCCCCACATCTGACCCATCCTAACTATCTAAGCAATCTCTATGATACTAACATTCACTTAACCCACTTCTAAGTCTTCAATTAAATCTCCATACACTGCTGAAGATCATAGTAATTTTCTTTGAAGGCTAGGTGGAAAAAGCCAGTAAGTAACTGGCTTTTTAAAATTAAAAACTCTGTTGGGAAGGAGAAAGAGATTTTTTTTCACTGTTGTCCTACTAAATGTGTCCATCTGCAATGTCCAAATTCTTATTGTTATAATATAGAATAAATAAAGCCAGTTAATGAACTTTTAAAGACAGTGTGATAGCTAAATAAGAACTACAGCTACCATACTTGCAGAAACCTTTCAAAGAGATTACCTCAAGATTGAGAGATGCAGGAGAAATTGTTGCAATTATAGATGTTCTTGTGCGCCCTCCAAGAGAATCCTGGAGGATTCTAGTTAGTTTAGATTCTCGGTAAGGAACATGAGGTGTTCTTTCTACAAGAGCAGTAATAACCCTTCCCAAAGTCAACAGCGATTGATTGATATTTCCAGCTTCCCGAGCTCTCTTGTCAACTGCTCCAGAACGGCCAATATTTTCACTTCCTGCAAGATCAACCTTCAATTAAAAAAAATATATATGTTGTCAGACTATTGGATTTGGACTTGAAGACTTTCATTGTCATATTATACATAATATATTAAATAATCAACAAAATAATTTTTCTATAATTAGCAACCCACTACAAAGCTAATAACCCAGTAACTACAAAAATATTTCCTGGAAGTACAAAATTTCAGGCTGCTCTATGAAGGACTCAAGAATGAAACAGAAGAATAGAACTACCAACCCCACTTCTGGGTATATATCCTAAGGGAATGAAATCAGTTTCTCAAAGAGATATGTGCACTCCCATGTCCACTGCATTATTCAAAATAGCCAAGACATGGAAACGACATCTGTCAATGGATGAATAGATTAAAATGTAATATATACAATACACACAACGAAATCTTATTCAACAATGAGAAAGGAAATTCTACCACTTGTGACAACATGGATGAACCTAGAGGATATTATGCAAAGTGAAATAAGCCAAAGACAAAAATACAAATACTGTATGATTTCATATGTGGAGTGGGGGGAAAAAAAGAAAGTCAAATTCATAGAAACAGAGAGTAGAATGATGGTTATCAGGAGCAGAGAGGTTGGGGAAGATAGGGAGATGCTGGTCAAAGTGTACAAGCCTTCAGTGATAAGATGAGTAAGTTTGGGGATCTGAAACACACTAGTACAGTTAATAATACTATATTAAAATTTGCTAGGAAAGTGTTCTCACATACAAAAAAGTAACTATGTGAGGTAATGGATGTGTTAATCTGATTGTGATAATCATTTTACAAAGTATATGTATATCAAATCATCATATTGTACACTTTAAATATGTAATTTTATTTGTCAATCATACCTCAATAAAGCGGGAGTAAAAAACAAAAAGAATGAAATAGTGGTATTGAGGCAAATGCTTACCAAGTTCAACTTTCCAATTTTAACAAGCTCCTCTCCATCAATTGTAGTTTCTTTCATATGTATTGTAACAGAAAAAACTGAGTGGGAACGACTAGAAAACAAGATCAAGTTGCCCGGTCATTATAATACAAAATATTATTTGTTTTCTACAAAATATTGAGAACAGCCAAGAAAGTTCTAAATCCACAAAAGTAGAGAAAGGCAGTACCTGAAAGGAGAAATCAATAAGATTTTGGAAGACATAAGGTAGATAAAACAATGATTAGGTTTTTGCTTTTTTGTACCTACTGCCTGTAGAAGAATACAGTAAGAAGCTACTTAAAACATTCTATAAGACTTAGGAACTAGAATCCTCAGGCACCTCTGAAAACTGAATGTGGGATAGGATTAGGACAGCTGCCTGGTTCATCAGAAGGGAAGGCTTGCGATCCATCTTTCTATTCATAAGAACCATCTATACATATAAAAGAGACCCAAATTATACAAATTTATAAAATAGGAATTTTGTATTTCAGAGAAGTTTTAAAAGAAATTTTACCTAGTCTTAAATTCATTCCTCAAAATTCTATATAAAATTAAGTTACAAGCCAATCATAGAACTGAACTTTGATTCTATGATTGATTTATAATGTAAGTTTTAAAAATGGAAAGCTATTATAGGAAAATTTAAATAAAATTATAAAATCACCTCTAATTCCATGATTTTAATTACTTTCATGTTGTTTTTGTTCTCTTTAAATGCATACATATTTATATAAAGTTCCAATTATAATTGTTATCATTATAATTACAAATGTTATAGAATATAGTACAAATTATCAATGATAAGGGAACAAAGAAATAGGAGATCTAGTCCTAACAATCATTTTGTTGCTCAGGGAAACTGATAATCAAGTAAGCTCACTTATTTACCTGAAGTCACATATTTAGTTAACAGCAGAACTGGAACTAAACATAAATACCTAATTCCCAACCCAAAGCTATATGAATTACACTCTGATGTTTCCTTCAAAGACCAATAGGGAGAAAGTCACTTCTAACTTGATAAATTGCATTTCTAGAGTCTGGGACTCATCCTATAGAGAGTGCTATCAAGTATGTCTTGATATATCTAAACACGTACAAACGCATACATCTTGATACATCCAAACACATACAAACACATACATCTAAAAGAAGAATCTAGGTATATGATTCATATACTTTGACCCACCGCAATTTGATTCCCCTCAAGTTCGTAATTCTTCTTAAAAAGAGAATGGAACATGAGGGGAACAATGGTTTTCTTACCTAGAGTATGCATTCATTAATGTTGCTGCAGTTGTCCTTTTTGCTGCTCCCTTCTCCAAAATTTGATAAACCTCATCCTTGTTGTGTACTGTAATTTCTTCTAAACCTTTGATTATCACTCCCCTCTGACCAAACATCAAAAAAAGCACTCATTATATTGGTTAACACACATGCGCGCGCAGAATTTTCAAAGCATCACACACTAAAACTTGCAGATATTTCATTCTCAAAGACTGAGTTACCTTGTTACGAGGATCATCAAACATCTGTAGTCTCTCAGAAACATCAGAAGATGGATTAAGGAGATCAAAAAGTTCTTCATTATAGATTTCCAACAGAGACACCTTGACTGAAAATTCAGTACCATTATCAGTAAGTTTCTCAAAAATTTGATGAAGAGTACGTGGAATTATACCAGCCAGAGGATCCTGAAATTGCAATATTAATAAGGACTAAAATAAAGGCAGAACAGCATTTACTGTGACAATTAAAACACATCTAAAAAGATCTAAAACACACCTTTATAGTATATTTAAGTGTAAGTATGTCAAAAGTTAAAAGAAAAAAAAAAAACCTAACCTAATGTTAGAGAAGTCAAGTCATTTACAAAAGTCTATCAAACAGTAATTATTCTCTACTGTCTCATACCTTTCACTAATCTGTCATGTCTGCCAGATACTTTGCGTCTGAGCATTACATAAAAACCAGCTGAACTAAGCTACTTATAAAGCCAGGTTCAATAATTCTTTCCAACTGTTCTTATGAGTACATAATACCACCATTTTAATCAGGAAAATGGCCCATTAAAAGTATATTCTCTAATCTGAAATAAGATTGATTCTCAAATATGTAAGTATCCTCAATAAAATTATTTTAAATCCCTAAATTTAGACACTGTGCCTTAAGTCTATTCCATATCTCCTACAGTTACAATTCCATAACTTTATTATCTATGCATAAAGTTAATGCCTCCAACTATGTAACCTTTAGAAAAAAGGATCTACTTAAATGTTAATTCAAAAATTGACTTACTCATTAAATTCATTGAAACATTTGGTGAAAATCTGTGAAATATACTACGGGTTCTCTACAATATTCAACAATGCAGTGACCTTAATTTCTTGAACACTCAAGGTGATCATTAGTAAAGCATAATACTGCGCCTTGCTATGTTACCTTTGAGATTCATTTCCTCACTGCAAGGTCTTCCCCTTTGCACCCCACTTGCATTCTACTTTTCCACAATATTATTCAACTATTCTGTTCCACACAGACCCCTCTCTTACCACTTAACTGTACCATATGGATTGGCCCAGTCTCTTCCAATGAGACTATTTGTTTCTTAAATTGAAGCCATATCATATACTCTAATTTTACTGTAGTAGTAATCATAAATTCCTGCTTAACACGGGTACTCTTCTCTATTTCAACACAAAGACCTTCAGCCAAGTTTTATTCAGTTATATTTCAGCCACTTTAGAGACAGAAGTCTGTTATAATCAACAAATACCTCCTCCCAAGTATATTCTTCATTAGGTGACCTTTCGCCTTCCATTGTAAAGGTTTTTCCAGTGCCAGTTTGGCCATATCTGTCAAGATTAACAAAAACATTGAATAAAAAACAAACACATACATCTAAAACTTTTCATCAATTTGAAAAATAATGTTTCACTCACGCAAAAATAGTGCAATTATAGCCCATAATAACTTCATCCAGAATTGGACAAACAACACTTCGATAAACATCTATTTGTTTAGTAGATGCTCCAAAAACCTATCCAAAAAAAAAAAAAAAAAAAAAATCAAAACATTTCTCCAAGAAAAACATTTTAAGTTTCCCACTTGAATAACTTTATTTTTAATGTATTAAGTCACTCAGCCCTAACTGGTGTGGCTCAGTTGGTTGGGTGTCCTCCCACAAAACTAAAGGTCTCCAGTTCGATTCCCTGGCAGGGCACATGCCTGGGTTGTGGGTTAGGTCCCCCGTGTGGACATATGAGAAGCAACGAATATATGTTTCTCTTTCACACAGATATTTCTCTTTCACACAGATGCTTCTCTCCCTCTCTTCCCCTGTCTCTAAAATTAATAAAATCCTTAAAAAAAGTTAACTCATTCAGCCCTCTGGAACTCAGTCAACTGAGTTTTGTCATTGCATTTTAGAACCTAGGGGAACTATGTAGACCAGGATAACTTCACATTAGTGAGTAATAGAGAAGTAGCAGCATTTTAAGAACTACATACCATATCAAAAGTATATGTTTTTCTTGAGCTCTTGTCAGCCAATCCTGCAGTTCGTACGCTAACTTCTTTTCGTACATGATCACATTCTACCACAGAATGGGCACAAGCTTTCCGCTCTGCCAAATTAAATGGTCTATAAAAAAAAAAGTACTCAATGTTATTCAAGAACTCCTACTTACATTACTGATGATATTGCCTTAGACAAGAACAATGTGACATTTTGACTACACTGTTGGTGATAGGGACTAAATGCTACTTCTTTTTAAGGGTTTCAATTCTCAGGAATATTATTAGGTTTTTTCATTTTCAAGGATATGTAAAACATTACAATTCTGACAGTTTCTTGGAATAGATGCTAATAGAATTAACTTGTAAATGATGCCAAACTTATTTTTCAGAATACTATTTCCACAATTCTTAGAATCTCATCAAGTTAAGTTATAATAGAGTAGAAAGAACATACCAAATTTGCACTCAAAATATGAACCTGCCAGTGGATAACTGGAACAAACTAAAAATAGATAAATATAATGACTAGTACGTAGAATACTTACTATGTGCCAAATATTCACTATTCCAAGTGCTTTATATGTGTTAACTCAGTTTGCCCTCACAGCACTGTGAGGTCTAGTAGAAAACAGTGACAAAACAAATGATTATATGAGAGGTGATGTTTAGAAAGAGTATGCAAAGGGTACTGTTAGGGACATATAGTAATTTAATGTGGTCCTGACTGGAACAGGGTGGGGTCAAGGAGGTATGACTGATGGCAAAGAATTCCTGAGGAACTAATCTTCTAAGCTAAATTTCTTCTTACGCATTTCAATATAGTGAGGACTCTGATCCAGTCTGCTTGGGCAATGAAGAACTTCGTGACTGTTTCCTCATTTTAAAAGTGGGGCTAGTAACATTGCCAGTCACTGTAGTACCAAGCAACAAGCAATGTAGGGAAAGTAATCCTGTTTAGCTTGCTGTTTTCCCAGTGCCTGCTACTATGCTTAGCATCCAGTAGGAACTCAAGTATCTGTTAACCTACATCACTTAATAAATGTCACCCTAAAGGGATGAAGGAAAAGCTTTCGAAGCAAAAAAACAGAAAACCACGGTCCACAGAGGAGCACCCATAAGATTATTTATAGACAGTACTTAATACACATCTGAGCCAAGAGGAGAGATGTACGCTTGATATGAGTTCATTTTTCCCAACGAATATCAAATATTATGGAAGGACATGCCAAATAGGAAATTATCTTTCTCCTCCTTGTTAGATGAACCGAGGTGCTATTTACTTTAAGAAGGATACTTCAACGTACCCTGACATGCCCCACTCCCTAGCATATTTTTGAATGGTCAGAAGGTCAAATTTGTGATCCCAGGAAATTTAACTCAGCAACTCCCAGGTTATATCTGGTAATGCTGTCCACTGCCAAATGTTTTGAAACCTAAACAATGCACATAATTCACAGCATGCATTATTAGAAGTTCAACAAAACTAAGTCAAAATCAACTTATACTGAGGAAGACCAAGAATATAAAATAGAGTAACTCCTCATATTATTAAAGCTTACTTTAATCAATTAGTCTACTATTCTTAGCATCCCCAAACTAATCTCTTGCCTGGATATGCGATAAAGTTACCAAATGACTATCACTCACATGTCAGGACAGAGAAGTAGAAATTCACACAATCACACATTCCTAAAAGTTATCAAAACTCCCAAAGAGGCACTTTAGGGATCATTTGTATTACAATAAAGAATATAGTCAAGCCACTGTTTTCCCATTCTGGACTTCTCTAATTAGAAACTGCAAGGTTTCTGCTGAAGACACTAACAAACCCACCAATTTCTTGGCCTCACTAGTGTTATATTATAATTCAAACAACGAAAGTGGTGAAGGAGGGAAGATTGAGGCTTTTTTTAAAAAGTCCTTAAGCCCTGGCGGGATAGCTCAATTGGTTAGATCCCTGTCCCTATAGCCAAGGTTGCGGGTTGGATCCCAGGTCAATACACACATAAGAAGCAACCAATGAATGCACATGTAAGTGGAACAACAAATCAATCTCTTTCTCACATAACTAAATAAATGAACAAATAAATTTTAAAAATTTAAAAAGTCCTTAGGTCAAAGACAAACACCATGATTTCACTTATATGTGGAATCTAAAAAGCAAAGTAAATGAACAAACAAAACAGAACCCAACACATAGACACCAAACTGATGGTTGCCAAAGGGGAGGGAGATTGGAGCACTGGGTGAAAAAGGTGAAAGGATTAAGAAGTACAAATTGGCAGTTATAAAATAGTCATGGGGATGTAGAGTTCAGCATAGTAAATAAATGTCACTAACATTTTAATAACTATATTTGAGTACTGAACTTATGGGGGGAGGTATTTTGTAAGTTATGTAAATGTCTTACCACTATGTTGGACACCTAAAACTAGTATAATATTAAATGTCAACTGTAACTGAAAATGTTTTTGAAAAGGAGGGGGGGAATGCCTGTCCCGTGCTAAATTTAGAGAACTGCTAAATTTATTCATTCATCCCATAAACATTCATCAAGTACATACAATGTGATAGATACTTTTCTAGGCACTTGGGATATAGCAGTGATCATAACCAAGTTTCAGGGGAAAAAATCCAAAACATCCCAAGTTCTTACTCTCAGAGAGCTTTTATCCTAGTGTGTGTGTTGGGGGATCAGGAAGAGATGACCATCAAACAAATGAGTAAATTTATTAGGCGCTGATAAATTTGAAATGAAAATAAAGCAGACCAGGGGATAGGGAGTGATGAATGGAGAAAATAGGTGGTTGCTATTGTTATTTTAGAGTGGTCAGGGAAGGTTTCTCTGATAAAGGTGATATTTAAGCAAAGTAAATAAAGCGAGAGAGCCAGCCATGTAACTTTTTTTGTGGAAAAAGCTTTCCAGGCAGTGAGAAATTGCAAAGACCTCAAGGTAGAGTATGGTGGATGTGTTTTGTTTAGTTTTTTAAATCCTCACCAGAGGATATATTTATTGATTTCAGAGAAAGAGGAAGAGGCAGTGAGAAAGAGGGAGAGCGAGAGAGAGAACAGAAGTGAGAGAGAAAGAGCAGTTAGTTGGAGACCTTTTGGTGCATGGACAACGCTCCAACCAAGGCAGTCAGCCAACCAGGGCTGTAGATGTGCTTCTAAAATGTGTGTGAGGGCAGGGAAGTTAGGCAGGAAATCAGAAAGATAGCTAGAAGCTGTATCATGTAGGGGTTTATAATATCCTGGGGCAAATCTGGCCCTTGTCTTGTCAAAAATAATTTTTACAATTTTAAAGGGTTGTTTAAAAATAAATCAGCCCTGACCACTGTGGCTCAGTTGGTTGGAGCGGTAACCAAAAAGTTGTGGTCTGATTTCCAGGTCAGGGCACAAGCCTAGGTTACAGGTGCCATCCCTGGTCCCACACCTAGTTCAGGCACGTAGGTGAGGAAACGCATCAATGCTTCTCTCTCTCCCGTCCTCTCTCTATCTAATAGCAATGAAAAAAAAGGTCCTCAGGTGAGGATTATTAACAACAACAAAAACAACAATAAAAATTGCATCATAGTATAGTGGGATAGTGAAAGTCTCTTTTCAACAAAGTAAATTATAAGCAGCTCCTCCAGCAGATTTATCTTCAGCTTATTTGTAACCGCTGCTAATAACTAAAATGTTTTTAACTTGCAATAATGAACTCTGAAGTCTTTGTTTTCCAAGTTGTCCCTTCTCTAAAATATCCTTTACTGATTTAATACAGAATCACAATTTTGTTTTCTATTTGGTAACTGGTGTCATATTGGGTTACTGTCAAAGGGTGGTTGGTCTGGGTCTTTTAAAAAATACAATGAAAGCTTTTTGTGGAAAAAGCTTTCCAGGCAGTGAGAAATTGCAAAGGCCCCAAGATAGAGGCCTTTTTCACACTTTAAAATATATGAATAATCCCGATGTGTTAATACCTAAGCTGTCTAAGCACCTGTTTAGAAAATAAATGCCAAAAATAACTTAAATCCTAAAATCTTTGTATTATGTTCTTCATAGGGTTCGTGCCAACCTGTAGCAGGGGTGTACAACCTGCGGCCCACAGGCCACATGTACCCCAGGGTGGCTATGAATGCTGCCCAACACAAAATCATAAATTTACTTAAAACATTATGAGATTTTTTTGTGATTATGTGTCACAATGTATTTAATGTGTTACCGAAGACAACTCTTCTTCCAGTGTGGCCTAGAGGCGCCAAACATTTGGACACCCCTGCTGTAGAATATACAAGGAGGGGCAGGTGTTTTGTGTATGTGTGTGTCTTTGTATCAAAGCCATTTACTGATTAAAATTTCTGTTTCTCAATTCCAGTTATGAGTTTATGTTGAGCTATGTATAGGTAGAATAAAAACTTCTCTTCATATAAGTTATTGTACAAGAAAAAAACATCCTAAAGATTGTGTTCAATGTAATTAAGTAATGAAGTTACCGCTCCACTCTTGAAATCCTGCTGACCTCTTAGGCTACAATAAACTGCGAAAATTAAAAACTTAAAACTGAAAAAAAAAAAAATTAGCCCTAGCCAGGTAACTCAGTTGGTTGGAGTGCTGTCCCCATATACCAAGGTTGTGGGTTGGATTCCCCCATCCAGACACACACAAGAATCAACCAATGAATGCATAAACAACAAATTAATGTTTCTCTCTTGTTCTTTTTCTCTCTCTCCCACCCTCCTTCCTTTCTTTCTTCTCTCTGAAATCAATTTTTTAAAAATTTTAAAATAAAATGTAAACTGAAAAAAATTAAAGAATATGTAATAGAGACCATACGTGGTCTGAAAAGTCTAAAATATTTACTATCTGGGCCCTTTACAGCAAAGATTTGACCACCCTAAGAGCCCCTTAAGGTGTTTATTTACTGAAGATCAAGGACATATTTGCATTAGGAAGGTTATTTGAAAATAAAAACAAACAAAAAAGCCAGGCTAATCTCAAAAAACATCTCTTTATAATATACAATCTAAGCACTTTTCATTAGTGATAAAGTAAAAGGGCCCTGGTTGTATGGCCCAGTGGATTGATCGCTAGTCTGTCAACGAAAAGCTCACCAGTTCAATTCTCAGTCAGGCCACTTGCCTGAGTTACTGGCCAGGTCCCTGGCTGGGGACATGGTTGCGGGGACATGCGAGAGGCATATCAATGTATCTCACCCTTTCTCCCTCCCTTCCTCTCTCTCCAAAAATAAATAAAATCTTTTTTACAAAAGTAAAAGAAATCCCTTTTAAGCTAAACTTGAAATTTATGGGGATAATAAAACATGAAGTCCAGGGTAATATTTAACTCTTGGGGTTGGGGAGAAGGTTGGGAATTAAGGAGGAAATATAATGGGGCTCCAGGTGTTTCTAATCCAGGTGATGGATGTACAAATGTCTGTTACATCGTTCTTTATAACTTTCTATGGGCTTAACATATTTTGTAACAAAAATAAATTAAAGAAAATAAAACCACACAGAAATGTTATACTGCCTGGGTTTATGAACCAGTTATTTATCAAAATAATCTAAAAATTTGCATTTGTAAAACAGGCTAGTTTTTTTTTTCAAACCTTCAAAAAAGCAACTATTAACAAAAGCCCTAGAATGCAACTGGTAATTAGCTAGACATAAGGTTACTAACAAATTTCCCCTCTGGCACCTTGTTTAAAAAGGTAGCTAATTGCCTTTGATATGTATGTATACAGTCACCAAAACTGACTAAACAATAACCTAAGAAAGTTTGTTGACACATTGTTAAAATAACATTTTAATCTTAGAATACTTTCAGATTTACAGAAAATTTGCTGATAGTTGTTAATAGTTTTTAAAACAACAGCAACAAAGAGACACACAAAACACACATTCACCAGTAATCTTGGAAGGTCTCTAAAAAGCTGAATAAATCAACTTCTAATTAAGCAACAGTTTGTACAATAAGTATGTTCCCCCTGTACTAGCTAATTTTAAAACTGGGAAGTTATTTGGAAATCAAGAAGAGAAGAGTTGAACACCTCCACCCACCGGGAAAACGCTGTCTCCTTTGTTGCAGGGGAGACTAAATTGCAGCACAACCAGGTGGCTATATTAGCTTAAGTAGTCTCCTCGATCTTTTACAAACAAACTCACTCTACTATAACTTAATTTTTAAAACTTACATACATTGATGTTTACTTGTTTAGTAGGGATTAAGAAAATACTGCACCTAGAATAAACAGGTGATTGATTACGTTTTTAGAGGTGATGAAGGGGATGGTAATCCCAACGTAAGTGTCAAAATATCTGCAAAGTGGCTACGCGGTCTTATTTCCCAAACTAACGAACTGCAAGGAATGCCATATGAAAGTGATACCTAAATCTTCCTCAACTTTACTTTCAAAACAGAAGGCACTTTTCGCTAAAGAACGGTGATCAAATTCTCCTTCTGAATATAGCAATTTAAACTATAACCTCCGACACAAACATGAGAGGGCAACCAAAGTTTTGCAAACCCCAAACTACGCCTTTTGGGATTTTGACTTTAAGCTAGTTAATAAGAAACAAACGACTCAGAAAGAAACTTTGACCCTCATCCTTACCTGCTTAAAAGAATTTAGATACAACCTGCTTCAAGGAAAGGAGCGTCACCCTAGCAGCATAATATAGAACTACTATAAATGTGGCAGACAGAAATCTAGAAAAGCCTGTTTTTTGAACTTCCTTCTGTTTACCAATGTTTCTAGGTGGTCCAGCAAGAATTTGCTTTTTCCTGAACCTGTAAATTGCCTACTTTCTTTGAAATCCCAGGTCCCCGTCCTACCTCTCCTTTGTCGAAAATGGCATATCAAACCGTAAATGCCCAATGGGTCTTGGGGGGTCTCGTTCTTATGGCATCTTTGCATGTACATCCATAATACATTGTGGACATTCTCTCCTGCTAATCTGTCTCATGTTAATTTATTAGTCCAGCTAAAATAATTTAGAAGGTGGGCGGAAAAATTCTTTTTCTGCGTCCCCGCATATCCCTTTTTATGAAAAAGACACTAATTTGCTCCTCATAGCAATATGGTGTCATTTTATCCAACAGACTGGGGGGCTATGAAACAGAAAGACTTGGTCCCCTTAGAAATTACAAACAAAATTCTTCTCCCCCGACCGCGCAGGGAAGGAGCCCAGCAGCAAAGCCCGGCGCTCCGAATCCCATCAGCCTCGCCTTACCTGCATCTCACCACCACCTGGATGTTCTTCCCCTTCTCCTCTTTCTTCTTCGTGGAGGAATTCGGCTGGGACGCCATGACGGAACCCTCCGACAAAAAAAGGCTTGGTACTGGGATGACCACCTCCTCTGCCGGGTGCCAGCTTGGCGAGAGAAACCGACGCAAGCAGCTCGGCGTCTCCGCTCTCCACTAGGGGCTGAATGGACGCCTCTTACGTCCCGCACCAACCGGAGCCGTCAAATCATCAACCTCGACTTCACCGGACGCCCAGAAACGGAACAACGACTAGGCGCCTCAATTTGAAAAAGGAGCCCAGTACCCCGACCAATTACAGCGCGGGCGCGCAAGGCACCATGGGAAGCGGTGTGGTCGCCAGAGCCCCACCCTTGGGGCGTAGCCCGCGGGAAAGGAAAAAGCTGGGACGTCGGAGCCCGGCCAGAACTGGTAGTCTAGTGGGAGACACGCAGGCGTGGACAGTGTGATAGTTCAACACGATCTCGCTTAAATTACGTAACATCTCTAAACTAAAATTTCCTCACATTGAAAATAATGACAACCGTTTCAGAGGACTGTGTGAGAATTAATGGGCTGGAGTGGATAAAATTGCTTAAACTAGGACATGCAGTAAGCGCTCAGGAAGACTGGCCATGGTTAAAATTATTATTGAAGACTTGCAAGAGGGTGCTATAGAAGCACAGAGGAGAGAGGTCCGAAACGAGCCTCTATCTCGGAGGAAACCTCCCGTATAATCTCAAAGAATAATTAGTGTTGAGATAACGCTACTACGGGTACCAACTCATGATGAAAGGGGCACTGCATGTCATTTTTAGGACTCTGAGTGTATCCTTTAACTGATAAGAAGTCATCGCCATTGCCAAGTGATTCCAAGTATGAAATGAAGATTAAGTTCTTCATCGCCCCGTTGGGACGATGTTTTTGTAGTGACTGACGCAAGCTCAGGGTGTACTTCCCTTCAAGTACCTGGCGCAACGTCCCGTGGGCGTCTAAAGGAAGTTGCGCAAAAGTCCGCCGGTGTCAGCCTACAAATCCCGGCAGGCAGCGCTCTCTGGGTCCCGCCCACGCTCAGTGACTTCTGGCTGTCTGTAATCGTACTAGGGGTCCGTGGGCAGTGCTTGAGTTTTTTCGACCCCTGTGAGTGTGTGTCCCAGACCGAGACATACTGACCTAAGGGTCTTTGCCAAGTCAGCTCAGGAAGCTGCGGTTATGGGGTACCCTTATCCCGACAGCAATCTAGATAGTTTAGTGTCTTAACGGCCAGTGGAATGGAAAGCTCTCAGGTCCCTCCTTCTCGCAAGAAAATATCTACGTCTAAAGCTTCCGTCGCTGGTCAATGGAGATTCTGCAAAGTCAGATGTCTACTGATATCTCCTCTTGGAAGTCTCACCGGCATCTCAAAAATAAAATTATCCAAAGCGAAAATCTTTATCCCCCTTACCTCCACCTTCATCTTTCTCATCTAGACAAATGGCACTAACTAGACTTTTATCTTCCATGTCCAGTGCAGTCCTGTTGCTTTTATCATATCTGCCGACCACTCTTGTTCAAGTCTCTTTTATCTCTTCCCTAAACAACTGTTCTTAACTTCCTTAATATTGTAGGTCTTCCTACTTGCTCTTTTCTTCTCTCCCCGCTGCATTCACTCAGCAAAGGGAAGAATCTTTTAAAAAAAACACAACAAAACAGATCGTGCCCCTCATTTACCTTTTAACCTTGCAGTAGCTTCTCATTGTTCTTAGAATAAAATCCAACCTCCTTACCGTGTCCTGTAAGGCCCTCATTTGCCTTTGTCTTTATCAACACCAACTTGGGCCACTATCGACATAGCTCACTACCACGCTCCAGAGCTTCTAAGCTCTTTCCTGCAGGCAGACCTTTGCATTTGCTGTGCCCTCTGCCTAGAACTCTCTAAGTTTGCCTCTTTGCATGGCTTACCCACCTATCCTCATCCTTCAGATGTCAGCTCAAATTTCTCTTTAAAAAGGTCTTTTCTAATCACTCCATCTGAAACATTTCCCTGTAATTTTGTTTCACAACCCTGTTTATTTTCTTCGTAACAGTACAATCTAATTACAGTGTCCGTGTATTGTCTATTTACCTTGTAAGAATATACTTTTTTGAGGGGACCTGATTATTTTGTTCAGTGTTGTTTTCCTGGTGTCCTGAACAGTGCCTTACACAAAGTAGTCACTAAATAAATGTATGAGTACCCGAAAGAGATTAATTAACTCTCCCAACTTTTATTTCCTTGTCGGTAAAACAGGAAATAAGCCCTGGCTGGTGTGGCTCCGTGGATTAAGTGCCAGTCTGCGAACAAAAGGGCTGAAGGTTCAATTCCCAGTCTAGGGCACACGCCTGGGTTCCGGGCTGGGTCTCCAGTAGGGGGCATGTGAGAGGCAACCACGCATTGACGTTTCTCCCTCTCTTTCTCCCTTCCTTCCCCTCCCTAAAAATAAATAAATAAAATCTTTAAAAAAATGAAATGGGAGATAATATGTATAAATTACCTGGCACATAGTAGGCCAAAAATGTTAATTTCGTCTCCTTTTCTTTCTCATTAATAACTATTGGTTTATTGTGTCCCTTTCTTTTTTTCTGTCCACTCCGCAAAAACAAATAAAGGTAAAGTAAAATTAAAAAATAACTACCTAAACAACATTTACATTAGGGTTGATGAAAGAAATTCAAGAGTCTTCACTTGTTAATAGTTATAGCTAGCATTTATCTAGGGCTACTATGTACAGACTTTATGAAAGGTTCTATGCGCATCGTCTCATTTAATCTTCAGAACAACTCTCTAAAGTAGGAACTATTATTTCCCACTATTTTATTATTACACAGGCCAAGTCAGTATACTGTCTGTAGTGTTACAGCTAATAAATGACAATAAAGGAAATCAGAATTCTTTCTGTTTTCAAATCCAAAGCTGTTAACTATCTCCCTCATCTAATTTTTTCATGTTCTCGGTGCACCTGTACCCACTTCATCATACCCTTATTGAGTGCTTACTATGGGTCAGGCAGTGAAGAGATAAGCCAAATTATAGTTCCCACCCTTAAGACTGAATTTAATGGAGATGGCCAGGGTCTTGTGGACATTTGTAAAATAAAATTTTACACTGCATGCAGGTGGCTATCTCTGATATGTTATTTTATACTGCCCCTTTAGGGCTCAAACTAATCAAGCTCATCAACACCTCTCTTTCTTGAAAGTCTGCCCATGGTTAGAAGTTATGTTTAATAATCTAAGAATAGAAATATGGATTCTACCAGTACAACATCACTGACTGTGTATGTGTTTGAATCTGGTATTTCTTTTTCAATAGTGTATCATCTCTTGTACAAATTATTTTAAATCAATTTTTATTTTCCTTTAAGTAAAATAAGAACATAGCTTTAAAAGTTACATAGTTCTAAAGGGTTTATAAACCTCCCCCAAATGAGGTATTCTGCCTACCTCTGCTTCAGTCCCTCCAGAACTCCACTCCAGAAACTACTTTCAACTTATTTTAGCTGTGTGCCTTTTTGCTTTGCTTTGTTTTGTTTTTTAGCATTTACAGATTTCCATTCTTGTAAGGAATTTGTATATACTGTTACCTTTTGATCAAACAACTTCGGACTTTGTTTAGTGATCATGGAAGATGTGAATTTAGTTTTCAAACTCTACCATTCCCTCTGCTTTCCCTTCCCTGTACACCCAATAGTACAATTTTTGTTAAATTAAAAATCTGTACTTAGGTTATTATATCTATTCATAGCTGAGCATTTCAGTCGAGTAAGGTTGTTTCCTTTCTTATTTTTTGTTTATCCTGAAGTTAATTACTGCTCATTTTTGTTTGATTAGCTTCCCCTGTACTTTTCCCAGTTTTCCCTACAGCTTGGTCAACTTTTCCACCAGTTCAGTGACATCAGAAATCTATCAGTTTCAAGTAATTTCTAATTATACTGCTCACTCTCTAGGCCTGAAATCCAAGTGCCATCCTAGGGTTTCTCTTCTTTTTCATCCCAGGAACTCCCTTTGCTTACTTCCTGGGTTGGATAGCATGTTTTCTGGGTCTCATCTGTGTGTTCTTTCTTGGTTTACTTCCTTGCTTATAATAGCCAAAAAGTGAAAACAGTCCACATGTCCATCAACTGATGGATGGATAAAAAAACTGATAGATCTAAGCAATGAAATACTTATAATTCTACAATAAAAAGGTATGAAGTACTGATACATGCTACAACATGGATAGACCTTGAAAAGATAATGCTAACTGAAAGAAGCCAGAAACAAAAGACCACATATTGTATGATTCATGTGAAATCTTCAGAATAGGAAAATCCATAGAGACAGAAGGTAGATTAGTGGTCCTAGGATCTGGGGGAGAAAGGGGTTGCTGCTGATAGAGTGTCTTTTGGAGTGATTAAAATATTTTTGAATTTAAAATAGCAAATTTTATAGCATGTGAATTATGTCTCATTAAAAATACTTCAGTATGATTTATGGCATTTCTTTACAACACAAGTACTTCTGTTATCTTCTCTCTGCAATGGTTAATTTTAAATACAAAAGTGCTTCTGACCCTGGCCAGGTAGCTCAGTTGGCTAGTGTCAGCCCAATATGCCAAGGTTGTGAGTTTGATCCCTGGTCAGGGCACATACAAGAATCAACCAATGAATGCATAAATAAGTGTGAAAGAACAAAATTTTTCTCTCCCCCGCCTCTCTCTCTTCCCCACTCCCCTAAAATCAAGAAATAGAAATTTAGAGAAAAGAGAAAATTTTAAAAAAGTGCTTCTGGCAAAAAATTGACTGTACTCACAGACCTTAACACCCTTCACAAAAACTAACTTGAAATGGATCACAGATGTAAATGTAAAATGCAAAACTATAAAACTCCTAGAAGATAACATAGGTCAAAGTCAGTGATTTTGATTTGGTGATGCCTTTTTAGATCCAACACCAAATACAAAATGATCCATAAAAGAACTAATTGATAAGCTAGACTTTATTAAAGTTGAAATTTTCTGCTCTGTGAAAGAGACTGTCAAGACAGTGAAAAGACAAGCTATCGACTCA